ATGTTTATTCTGAGCACAATTTAAAGTAATAATACTTGTTTCTAGAGTTCTACTAAGTTGGGCTCAAATAGTGTAAGACATCTGCAAATAGGCTCACAGAGATCTTGAATAATCATATAGTCCAGATTGTGGGAAATAATTATCTCATTCTACTCTACCTTGGTCAGGAGGCCTTGCTTGGAGTATTGCATACCTCAATTAAAACACAAAACAAAACTATTGATGAACTGGAAGAGGACCAGAGAAATGCTACAATGATTATAAAAGGACTGGAAACTGACCTACAAGGAATGATTCCAAGACCTAGATAATTTAAAAGATAAAGATATGTAGAAGATAATATTGAGAGCAGAGATATTAACTTTGTTGTTTTTAAATATCTGAAGAGCAGACGGTTTGTGCTCCAAAAGATAAAATGGGGTTAAAAAAATGTAGTGTCAGTCAACTGTTTTGATTTGGCAAGGTATTATAAAAATATTGTACTGTTTACATAAATATTGTATATACTAATGTTTGTGTCTACATCAGATAATATATTGTTTTGGTTTTGATAGTTTGATCATGTATCAGTGAGAAAACTGTTGAAAACACAGTGTAATTTTACAATTTTCCCTCCTTGGCTCCCTTGAATCTTGATAGTGGTCAAATCCTTGGTGTTCTCTGACACTGGTTTTATTAGCCAACTAGATAATATTATTAATGCCTTCATCAGTGCTTTCATCATAAAGCACTGATAATGGTTAGGTAATGAAATGTCTACAAGCAAACAATCAAGCTCAAAGTCCACCAAGACTTCTAAAACATAACCCCAAACTACAGATAATCTCTCTTCTATAGGATCTTAAGAGCTATTCTCACAAGTTTATTCATATTAATATTTGCAATAATCAATACAAAGATTTGACCTAGTAGTGTAATCCAGCCTTTCCTATTTAGTACATTCCAGATGGATTATTTATTGGTTTGTTAATGCATTCACAGCTGCCCTTCTTTTCAGCATTTAGGGAGCTGTCCATGGTAGTTCCCATCATTTAGCCACACAGGAACAACCCTGTGGAGATAGACTTCTTCCTTGAGAGAATGGGACTGGCCCAGAGTTACTAATTGAATGCCATGGTTGATTGGAGGCATGAACTGGGTTTCTCCGGTTCAGCTCAACGCTTTAATCACTGCAGTACAAAGAGCTGCTGGTTAGAGTTTTGGTCTTCACACATTTCCAGGTTAGGAAAGATGGTCCCTGCTATGTACTGGCTCTAATAGATAAACTATTAATGTACACATGCTTCAGCCTTCAATGCATCTGTATCCCAATTGTAAATTATCAAATAAAACCAAGATTGGAGACAAATAAAATGCCAAATCTTTAACAAAGATATTATCACACTGTTCCATCATACAATAGCAATAGCACTTAGACTTATATACCACTTCACAGTGCTTTATAGCCCTCTCTATGTGGTTTTTAGAGTCAGAATATTGCCCCCAATTGTCGGGGTCCTAATTTTACACACCTTGGAAGGATGGAAGGAGGAATCAACCTTGAGCTTGGTGAAATTCCAACTGCCAAATTGCTGGCAGTTAGCAGAAGTAGCTGCAGTACTGCATTCTAACCACTGCGCCACCACGGCTAAACTGTATACAACTTATACAGTTGTATAAGTCATCCCATATTAGTGATTTCCCCTTATCAGTCTTTTACAGAANTCTATCTATCTATCTATCTATCTATCTATCTATCTATCTATCTATCTTTAACTATCTTCTGGAGGTGAGGGAGGTGAAAAACAGGTGATTTTCACCTGTTTTTGGGCCTCCTGGGGTGTCTGTGTACCCAGCTTTTCACCCCCTCCACTCCAGAAGATCTCTGCAGGCCAAAATTGTTGGCGTTACCTTTCAGTTCCAACCCATGGGGCTTGCGAAGGTACATCCTGCGCTCAGCCAAAGGGACGATGTGAGGGTGGGGGAAGCCTCGTGGTCCTGCATGGGCCAGATTAATGGCTTTGGTGGGCCCATGCAGCCCACGGGCTGTAGTTTGAGGACCCATGTCTTAGTAAATATGTCACTGTTAATGAATTATTAAAGATTTTTTTTAAATAAAAGCACTATTCTCAAATAGCATTGTAATCCTTGTGTCGTCTCTCCCCCCGGCCTTCTCCGCAGTGTGCTACAGTTGCACGCATCAACCCACCATGTTTTTCACCAAGCCATCTTACAAAAGCCTGCTTGATAGGTCAGCCATCCTGGTCTGTACCGTGGTCTCTCCTAACCTTGTGAGTGCTCAGATCACTTGGCTTGTGGACAACAAGCCCAGCACAGATGCTGCGAATGAGATGGTGACGATGGACACTTATGGAAGTCAGATGTTGAGAAGCAACCACTCAGTGTCTTTGGAGCAGTGGACCAAGGGCACCATCTTCACCTGTAAAGTAAGCGGGAGCTGCTTTGAAGAACACCAAAAGGACATCACCCTCAAGAAGGCTACTCGTGAGTTGATTGCTTAAAATGCTGCTCCGTCAAGAAAGCAAGAATCACATGTCTTCAAAATAAAAAAATGTTTTAATATGCAAAACAGGAATCATGTAAAGAATTTGGGCTTGATTTGTGATAGGAATCATCCACCTTTGGTTAGGTGTGACTTCATTTCTCCAACCATTTTGAATTTGCTTTTCCTAGGTGTAGGGAGGCAGTGGCTCAGTGGCTAAGACACTGAGCTTGTCAATCAGAAAGGTCAGCAATTCAGAAGTTCGAATCTCTAGCACCCCATAACAGAGTGAATTCCTGTTACTTGTCCCACCTTCTGCCAATCTAGCAGTTCGAAAGTACATAAAAATGCAAGTAGAAAAATAGGAACCACCTTTGGTGGGAAGATAACAGTGTTACAAGACCATCACAGTGATAAATTATAGCAAAAGAGACATAGGAAAAGTAAGACTATGAAGAGAGAGCAGGGGGGAATGGAGGGATGGAGGATGGAGAGGTGGGTAGGTAGGTAGGTAGGTAGGTAGGTAGGTAGGTAGGTAGGTAAGTAGGTAGACAGACAGACAGACAGACAGACAGACAGACAGACAGATAGATAATGGATGGATAGATATAGAGATAAGTATAGAGGTATAGAAGAGAGAGGGAGGGAGAGAGAGAATCAAAAGCAGATAGAGAGACCAAAATCTTAGAAATCTTCTGAAAGAGTCCTATTTCATTCCTGNCTATAGATCAAGTAAAAACTCCTGCCATCCTTCCACTTTGGCCCTGCTGTAGTTCCATCAAGGAAGATACTAGTATGGTAACTTTTACTTGCCTGCTTATTGAACATGGCACACAGTCTTTGAAAATCACGTGGGAACCTGATAATCCAGAAACACAAAAGGAGTGGACTGGAATGGTAGGGGAAAGCAGTAAACTGGAACGGTACACAACAAGCCAACTCACCGTCTCTTCCTCCAGCTCCTCCAAACATCAATACAAATGCTTTGTAAAAGATAAGAATGATCTTCCCCCGGTACTCTTCACAAACAAACGTAAGTGTCTTCAAGAGGGTAAACTATGTGAGGTTAAGGCCACCAGAGGCCTGATGAGTAAATATGGCCCTGAGACTCTGTAGGTTCCACTTGGAAGGAGATTGTTGCGCATAAAAACAGAGAAGGGGACTATAGAAGGGCGCATCTCTATGGTTTTCTTAGCAACAGCATAATAGCCTTCCTGTTTCCTTCTTTTGGGGTTATTTCAGGGGTGGGATTGAAAATTTTTAGCAACTGGGTGGGCTTAAGGGGTGGGCATGGCCATGGGGGAGTGGCCTACTCAGCTTCCTGCACCACAGTGGCAGGGAATGTTTTTGCCTTCCCCAGGCTCTGGAGGCTTTCCTCAAGTCTTTGGGAGGGCAAAACCGGCCTTCCCTAGAATTGGGCCTGTTTCTGGACTTACTTCCGGTACTTCCGGTAGGCCTGTTTTTCACCTTCCCCAGACTCCGGAGAATTTCCTTTAGCCTTTAGGAGGGTGAAAATGGCCTCCCCTGGGTTCCACTTACCTGGCATGATGAACAGGCCATGTGGAGACTCTTGGGAGGGGTGAGGATGGGTGGGCGGGGTCAGCCAGTCCTTCTAACTACGGGTTCAGTGAACCAGATTAAAATTAACATCCGGTTCATCCGAACCGGTCTGAACAAGTCTGAACTGGCTGAATCCCACCCCTGGTTTTTTTTTTTAAAAAAAAATTCTGAATCCAGACTATTTCCCTACAATTCAAAGATGAACTTGTCAATCAGAAAGGTTGGCAGTTTGGCGGTTCGAATTGCTAGCACTGCGTAATGGAGTGAGCTCTCATGCCTTGTCTCATCTTGTGCCATCCTAACAGTTCGAAAGCATGTAAAAATGAGAGTAGAAAAATAGGAACCACCTTTGTTGGGAAGGTAAAAGTGTTCTGTGCGCCTTCGGCGTTTTGTCATGCCGGCCACATGACCACAGAGAGGTCTTCGGACGGCGCTGGCTCTTCGGATTTGAAATGGAGATGAGCACCGCCCCCTAGAGTCAGGAACAACTAGCAGATATGTGCAATGGGGACCTTCACCTTTTACCTAAGTACAAACATTTCTTATGGGTGACTCTTCCAACGAAACAGCAATGTTCTTCTACTTTGTGTTCTCAGATTGCTTTTTGCAACCTCTGAAACCGGTTGATGTTCAGATCTTAACCCCCAGTTGTGGCATACAAAACTCAGTGGTCAATGTGGAGCTGGTCTGCTTCCTGAGGAGCCTGAGTGGTGGAAAAGCCGAGGTGGAATGGCTGAAGAATGGAGTACAGGTGCAAGAGAAAGAAGAGGTGGTATTGAGATCCGTTGTAGGGAAGGGCAGTGGTTACTCCAGTTTCACCCAACTGAACATCAGCAGAGAGAGTTGGGACAAAGGGGACCTCTACACCTGTAAAGTGACGCGCCCGCCAGGCAGTCAAAACATCACAATGCACAATGCCAGCAAATGTCAAGGTGAGTGTTACCACCCTGAAGTATCAAGAGCTTATGGGCTATAGAATGATGGAGGGGTAAGAAACAATCCAAGCAGATCACCTGTCAGAGTTCCAAGTAAATACATCCATGCCAAAACAGAACATCTAATACAGGAGTCTCTAACTTTCTGGCTTTGTGTACCAGCAGAGATGGCAGGTTGGGGAAGAGGGAATGGGTTTCAGTGGTGGGTTCTGGCCAGTACGGCCTGGTACGGCCGTACCGGCAGTAGCCAGGAGCAGCTGACAGCGTACCAGCATCTTGCTTGGTTCTCTTGAATTCCCTTGTCTTTAAAGAAGCTACCAAGATTTGCAGCTTCTTAGCAACAGCATTTAGACTTATATACTGCTTCACATTGCTTTACAGCCCTCTCTAAATGATTTGCAGAGTCTGCATATTGACCCCAACAATTTGGGTCCTCATTTTACCCACCTCGGAAGGATGGAACCTTCAGCCGAGGTGGCGCAGTGGTTAAATGCAGCACTACAGGCTACTTCAGCTGACTGCAGTTCTGCAGTTCGGCTGTTCAAATCTCACCGGCTCAGGGTTGATTCAGCCTTCCATCCTTCCGAGGTGGGTAA